CACTATTCTGTATTCATTGCCGATGAATGCTTCCTGCGCTTCCCCTCTCAGATCCGGTCATTCTTCTTTCCAACCCTCTACGCATTTTGATTTATTTGTTTTTTCTTTTCTTTTTTTTGGTAATTGTGCTAACCGCAAACAGCATAATATTTATCGCATTAAAGCAATACTAAAATTCGCTCTTTACCTTATATTCGTCTTTTAGGAAGAAGTTTTCAATGAATTTTAGTTAAATGCTGTGCTACGAGCTCTTGTAAATGAAGGGACTGATAGAATAACTATGTAAAAGCTGTTAAGAAGCGAACATGAGCTGTCTGACAGGCAGTCTTTTCTTTATTTTCAGTCTGTGTACCGATGAAGCTGGGAGTGTGATAGGGTGATTGAATATCGCTTAAACATTTCGGACAGGTATCCGAGATCGAAGGGCCCTGACATATCTGCGCCAGGATGCGTCAATGACATTAGGATATCTACATTAGTACTTTGGCGGTTTTGGTACTTTTGGCATATACCGCATACGTATCTGATCGAATAAATTAGTTTCAAAAACACTTTCTCTCAATTTGATAAAACTGTGAGATTTTATTATCCGGCCAAAAGTTGATTCCTTTCTACAAGCCTACAACTTTCCAGGAGCAACAGGCCTGAAGACAGAAAGCCAGTCTGGACTTGTCTGCACTCTGTCCGGACGCCTAAATATAGGCCAGGTTATAACCAACTTATCCGTTTGGTAAAGAGACAATTGCCCTTTCCCTGTTTCTAATAATCGCGGCGAGGGTGTCTAGAATGTCTAGCAGGGCTTGTCACATTGTTCCTTCTCTTGTTTTCAGTGCATCCTAAATATAAAAGCTCATAATTACTTGCTTCTACTTCCTTGTCTTGTCCTCGCTTCTCTCCGCATCATTTTCCCGCACATTGTTTTGATTATGACACTTGTCTAGCACTGTACTGAACCACTTGTTTAACTGATATATTTGCTAACATAGTGCTCTCTAAAGTATTATTTAACAGTGTGTTCTCCTGAACTTGCCAGTAGTTTCACGAAAATTTTCGTACTTTCGCTGCGCTGTTCTAACAAATAGACTTATGTAGTTAGAAGTGAGGCTATTGCTGCTGTTGGTAGCAGTGGGCTT